GCCCCCTTCAGGGGCACCGGCTTCCCTGCAGCGATCCCATGGACGAACTCCGGATGCACCCAGCGTTCGAACTTCACGACAGGAAACCTCCGGTCCTCCGTGCCGATCCCCAAGGCAGCAGCCCGGTTGAGGATCCCACAGAGGAGTTCCTCCGTGATGTGTTTCGAGCCTGCACACCCGTCCAGCATGCATTCCACCATGCCGTCGATGACCTGCACGACTGTTCTGTACTGGTACCCCCCGACCTCGTTCTCGCAGAGGTGCCACAAGTCCTGAGGCAGCTCGTCCAACGAGCTGAACTTCGACGACGAGCTCTTGGCAAGCGGGAAAGCGGAGGAGTTCGCCGCAACAACCGTGCCAGCGCTCCCAATCTGGATGGAGATCGTAGCGAAGGGATTCACCATCCCGGCGCCACTCGGGGCCGCCCAGTTCGAAGGCAACGCGGCTCCCCCAGTGGCGGGAAGCGAATGGACCATGTCACAGTCCGCGCCCTTACGGCACGACCCGTTCTTCTTGAAGAAAGGGCAGATAGTCCCTGGCGGCTTCGCGCCCGCCTTGGACTTCGCCTTGGGCTTGGCCTTGGCCTTGCCTTTGGGCTGCCCTCCGGGTCCACCCTTGCCCTTGCCCTTGCCCTTCCCCGGCGTTGTCGCCAGGGTGGACGCGTCCCGCTCCTTCTTTGCCGCGAGGGCCTTTTTGCGGAGCTCCTTGTCGTGCGAGTAAGGGCACGCGTCCCCTTTTGGGCAGTTCCCGTGGTCGCGGAAATGGAAACAGATAGGCTTACCTTTTCCATTTCCTTTCGGACCATCGGCAAGCGTGGAAGAGGCGGCCGCCTTGGCCGCGGCCTTAGAAGCCTTGAGCTCCGTCCTCAGCTTCTCGACCTCCTTCCGCGCGGCTGACAGGGCTGGGTCTTCCGTCGAACCTGCGTACACGCTATTAGCCGTCACCCGATGCGCAGCCTCACGCTGCTCATATTCGAGGACGACCTTATGCGCTTCTTCCTAGGTCGAAGGGCCTCGAAGCCCTGCGGATGCGCCGTCGCTAGGCCACAACCGCTTATCACCGCGGATCTCCTTCTGGAGATGTGGAGGCATCTTGCGCAAGTAGCTTAGGAAGAGCTCCCTCGCTGTCTTGCCAAGACCCACACTCTCCACCTCCGCGATGGAGGCCTCAAACAGGGGCTCGAACTGGTGCCCTGTGAGACGGCCCTTAGTGAGGGCGACGTGCTCCGCGTCCACCCTCATCTCCTTCTCTTCTCGGCTCTCGCCGAAGACAAGGTGCCGCTGCTTGATCCTTTCGTAAACTGCTTGGGGATTCTCAGTAACTTCCCCGGTCTTGGAGGCAGCCTTGTACACGTTAGTAAAGGTCTTAAGCCTCGAGCCGCGGCAGCGAGCACGAAGGGCGATGAGTTTCCCCCGGAAATTCATCCCCTTGCAGTTGTTGGCAAGGCCACAGACGTCCTCGAACTCTTCGTAGAACTGGACCACGTCCCGGATGTCGGAGCGATCGTCGGTGAGCGAGGGCCAGTGGAGGTCCGTCTTCACGGTCGTGATCGACGTCTGACCTCCGCGAGACGCCAAGGCCTCCTTGAGCGCCTCGGTCTGGGCCGCCAAAGCTGCAGCGAGCTCTCCGGCTCCGCCGCTGGCGGAGTGAGGCTCGCCGGGCTGATCCTTCTTAAGCCCTTCGAGCTCTATCTCCAGAGCCGCAAGGCGGGACTTCAGGGGTGAGTCCCCCGGACCAGGTTGCGGATCCTCAGGGATCGCGAGCTGAAGGTCCACCGGAAGAGGCGCCGGTGCTCCGGACTTAGAGCCCGACTCCGCAACGGCGCCCGTCCGGGCCGCCAGGGCCGGGACAGAAGAAGGAGTGCTCCAAACCTTCTCGGGATCGCCGCTGCTCTTGCCTCCCAGGGCCAAGATCAGCTCGCCGAGTCACGAGATCTCCTTCTCGACCTCCTCTCGGTCTTCCGACCCAAGAGAAACCGCGGCAACGGTAAACCTGGTGCGCAGGGCCCGCACCATCCTGGCAGGGTGCCAGTCACCTCCCATTTTGCCGTATTCCTCGGCAAGGATGGTGGCCTTGGTAGTGATCTTCTCAAGATCCTCCACCGTGACCTCTGCCTGGTGCGCCTTCAAGGCCACAACCAGCCTTGACACCCGCGTCAGGTAATCCGCGACCGGTTCCTGGTCGGGACGGTAGAGCTCCCGCAGGTCCGCCTGCAGGGTCTCCGCCGTGACGGGACCACCCGTCCCAGCAGACGAGGGAGGCCCGGAACGGGCCGGGCCGCCGGCCACCGGCGAGAGAGCAAGCGCACCAACACGGCGCGCCGTCTCGGCCACGTCCGCCGGCGCAGCGTCAGGACGCGGAGCCGGTACCCCGGCCTCCGGCAGAAGCTCTTCAGAGCTGGGGCCCGGATCGCCATCCTGAGCACCCGGGCCCGCTTCCGCAGCTGGAGCTTCCTCATCTTCCTCTTCATCTTCTTCCTCTTCCTCTTCGGCATCGAAGTTGTCTTAGAGGAATTCCATCGTCTCCTTCCACAGACGCTGTTCATCTGCTAGCGTCGTGGATCGTCCGTCCTTCTTCTTGGTGGGACGGGACCCCGTTTCCTTACGCCAACGGAGCCAGTACATAAAGGGCATCTTCTCCGGGTACTCCACTGACCCATCCTCGATGCCCCTCAGCAACGTGGCTCCTTCCGGCTGACCTGCGACCTCAGCGCTCATGGTCGCCTAGCGAAGGAGAGAGCCCCGTGCCACACAGGACCACGGCCTCAAGGCGCACGACAAGCGCGCCTTCGAGGCCACGTTAAAAGATTGCGGCGCAGCAGCCGCCTGGGGGGCCGTTTCCCAGAACAGCCCCCAATTGTGGAGAACGGAAACCCAAAGGGGCAGCACGCACCCTCGTTTTCCGTCCAAGCAGAAAGTCCAACGACCGTGACAGGTCGAACGTCCGCCCAGGACGGGCTGCGCGCAATTGCTTCGCGGCAACGAGAAGCTACCAACGACACACTGCCGTGCTCACTTGA